TTTTTATTATCATTATTTTTTTAAGAGAGTAACATGTTTGGAACTCTTTATGGCTAGAAGTTCAGATCTGATGGATTCATGGACAGCCTCGTGAGATCTTCATTCTACAGCTGTTCTTAATTACGCTTCTTTTTTCACTTCATTATCCGATGCGACGGATTCTAAATATTTACAGATTTACATACCAAATCCTCCGACGCTAATGAAATCTCCATCTCTTTTGCTTCCTGAAATTATCTTCTCACTTTGGCCTTATCCTTCCCTACTTCCAATCCAATTCTCTCTCTTATTCCTTTGTCCTGTCCCGTTTCACAGGCCTATTCAATCCTTAAGGTCTATATTACCTGCATAACCCATTCTACTTCCAACTCCCTTGCCATATTACTTCCAACAACTTCACTGGTTGTTTCCGGTCGTCTGCCTCAATCACCCTTTTCACCGCCAGTTCGTAAGAGAGAAACAAGCCATACCTTAGAGTCCATTTCAAAAGCTTGAGTTAATTCCTCTCTGATTCTTATCCTCATAGTCGTGGTAGCAAGCTTGGTTAAATCGGCTTCTCGAAGATTCTGAAATGCTTCAGAGGATATTCCACTCTCAGAGTGTGTTGAATATTGTCGATAGCTAATTTGGAAGTTACAAAATACATGCCAATGTCCTTCTGTGAATTTACTGTTTTGACACAAGTGGAATGTGTCGTCTCATGGTGATATATATATATATAATATATATATATATATATATATATATATATATATATATATATATATATAGTGAACCGCATGGTATTTACTGACAATTAGGGCATAGTATTTACAGCAACCGTTTATATACTATTTTAATTTCAAAATCCCATAACCAATTGATAAAGCATCAAATCCTTTAACGACCTTGCATACTATCCTTTCATCCTCCTTATGCAGGGGGGACATAAATACCTTTTTCCCGCCCATTTGCACATGTTACCTTCTTCGTCATAAGTAATTGGATTCCAAGTTCATATCACTTATTTTTTTACCTTATTGATTTTTTTAGTTAATGGGTTTTAATCCTTTTCTTCCGTCGATTCTTCAGTTACTCTGCGCAGTTAGATGCTCTTCTAATGATGATGTTAATGATGATTGTAATGATAATGATAAAAACTATAATAACGATAATAATGATAATGATAATAATAGTGATATGATAATATAATAATATAATAATAATAATAACAGTATAATATGATATAATGATAATAATAGGAAAAAATATGTTAATAAAAGATAACAAAGAAATTTGTTATGAAAAGTATTAATATAATAATCACACAGTAATAAACATATTACTTCTATTTTACGCTTGTGTTGGTTATATAACACACCACAGCCGTAACCACGCTGTGAAAATTGAAACCTTACAACATTCACTCTCAAGTATGTGTTTGAAGCACACGAGGTCAGTTCCAGAATCTATTTTAAGCATTAACACGTGGGAAGTACAACAGCAAACTCGGTGCACACACACTTACATACACCTATATATATATATATATATATATATATATATATATATATATATATATATATATATATATATATATATATATATATATATATAAGAGACAGGAAGATACATGCAGCGAACATATATAGGTTCATGTATACTTTACCTTCTTCCCTCTCCCTCACTCCCTTCCTTCTCCCTCTCTCTCTCTCTCTCTCTCTCTTTCTTTCTTTCTTTCTCTCTCCCTCCCTCCCTCCCTCCTTCCTCTCTCCCCCTCTCTCTCTCTCTCTCTCCATCTCTCTCTCTCTCTCTCTCCCTCCCTCATCTCCCTCTCTCTCTCTCTCTCTCTCTCTCTCTCTCTCTCTCTCTCCTCTCTCTCTCTCTCTCTCTCTCTCTCTCTCTCTCTCTCTCTCTCTCTCTCTCCTCTCTCTCTCTCTCTCTCTACCCCTCTCTCTCTTCTCTCTCTTCTCCCTCCCCCCCTCCTCTCTCCCCCTCCCTCCCTCCCTCTAAAAATTTCACTCACTGCCATG